AATTTCTAGGTCTCATCAAGACAAAAAAAAACATCTGAGGATATAGATTATGTAAATGAAGACCTAATCTGCATAATTTATAGGAATTTCTTATAATTTCGTAGTTGTAACTGCTGGGAATTTTATACTTGACACATTTGGAAGTTAAGTGAAGGTGAACATTAATAAACATAATTTATTCAAATCATGACCTCATTTGCATAAGTTATGAGGAAGTGCTATAGTATGATAGCCTTTTTGTTAAGATAAGGCTATCATTGGGTGGAGAATATGATCAACTGATATAATTCATGCAAATGAGGCTCTCATTTGCAAAATCAATGATCAATGATTAGAATTGTATCATTCGTCAACCGCAAGGGTTAACATCATATGGCGAAGGTATGAGGTCGTGGAACTCTAAGACTTGTTTATCTATATCCCAAACGTATTTCAAACCCTGGTCTAAGTATGGTGCACCTACCAGACAGATGTGGGAAATATGATAATGTTAAGACTAGATTCTATGTTTTCCACAGAGATCACAGCACAGAGTGAAGCCAATGAGATTAAGGAGAACTGGAAGCCGCCTTTCCTGACCAATGAGGAGTTTTCTCAGCTGATGTTGGATGTGAGTACTCAGGCTGATACATGCTGCTGGCATCATGTGGTGTAAGGGTTAAAGTGTTTGGCCCAGAACCACAAAAGGTGGTCACAAAACTCCCACTCACTACCCAGTGGGATTAGGTCAGGTTAGGTTAAGTTACTAATTGGTTAGGTTAGGTTAGGTTACTAATAGGTTAGGTTAGTTTACTAGTAGGTTACGTTGGGTCCAGTGGGTCGATGTTGGACAGTCCACACATTCTAATATTAATGTAATATTTTGGATGCACCAGAGTTCTAGCCAGCTTGTAAATTTTTTCCGTCAACCCACATACATGTATATCGAGTGTAATAACGGTGCGACAATCCTATGGGGGTCCTGGGGAAAATTTTGAAAACTAGATCCTCTGAAATGCTATCTCCTGAATTTTAAGGGGCAATTTTTGCATGTAGACAAAGCTCATTTGGGGGAAAATTACACGAAAGTTTCAGCTTGATTTTGAGGTAAGAGTGGACCTTGGTTGGGTCAGCAAAGAAAAGAAGCAAAATTTTGTAACACAAAACTTGTTGACTAATTACGACAGATATTTAGGTAAAAAAATAAAACATTTTCAACACCGGGGCCTTTGTAATCTGTAGTCTGTACAAAAATAATGTCGTTGAGGAAAATTTTGAAAACTAGATCCTCTAAAATGCTATCTCCTGAATTTTGAGGGGCAATTTTTGCATGTAGACAAAGCTCGTTTGGGGGAGTACATTGTAGTTCAGCAATGGTCAGGGTGTGTTAGGGGGTCAAATTTGACTCAAGCTTAACTTTGATTTGATTTGTATAGTATAGAAAGGTAGGCTTGGCCTAAATCTCATGGGTCAGATTGCTTCCAAACTTCAGCTGACCTTGGTGGGCTGGTGTTTGGGGGCAAGGTCAGGGGAAACAATAAGCTGTATGTTCATTTTTAAAACAATTTTCATATGGTTGGTCCCAACAGTAGCCTGACGTTGATGCAATTATACAATGTACTATTTTTTTCAGGCAACAAATGGTTTTATGCTGGCAATCAACAAGCAGGGCAAGATCCTTTATGTCTCTGAAAATGTCACCTCCTTACTGGGACATTTGCCGGTGAGTAGGTCTTATTAGAGTCTTTGCTTTCTTTACTGGCAAACTTCACCCCTTTATGCAAAGTCAAAAACACGCACATTCACTCTCACAGATATATAGAAATTGATAGAATACTACACAGTGTATTCCGTATCGCTTGAGGTACCAGCCAGACCGCGGGTCGGATTGCCCGAAGGCCGGAGGGAGATCTGATCTGCGTGAGGGCTGGGACCGAGGGTGATGCGGAATACACCATGTAGTATTTTATTTAGGTAATACCCTGACCCGAGAAAACAGACGTTTCAATGCGAAATGTGCCAAAATTTGGTGTATCTAAACATTAAGTGTAACAGTGTCAATTCCAACATCTGAATTTGGTGTTCGAAGTTTCGAAATATTATATGGAACATTTGGATGTCCGGGCTGTATGGGTAAAGAACCCGGGGCCATACCGCTACATGTAGTTATCACATGGGCCAGAACACCCATATCAAACGTAATCTGGTGGTATGTTACGCCGAAAGGCGGTTATACCGGCTACACAGATACAGATACAGAATCAAGGCCCAGGTATGACATAATTATATTAAGACACAAACACTACTCCACAGATACACTACAATGAATAATTGATTTTGATACTGTAATTCACTTTATGTTCATGGTAGCAAAAGTTCACAGTCTGAGAAAAATGGAAACGTTCACGGAAATACATAGACAAAGTATGATGAATTATTATTACATGCATGTTAGCAGTGGCGGCAGGTGCAGAAAAAAGAAAGTTATTTGTTCATGGTTACCATAATTATGATAAGTTCATGGCACAGAAGTGACCGCAAAAAATACGAACATAAGAGTACCATGAAAAAATTGTGTAGTAACGGGGGGTGCCCTAACATCGAATGCTTTTTCACACGCTCGAACTCATGGCGCTCTATCGTTAGTTGTCAGAGAGTGGTCAGGTTTTGATGAAAGAATTTTGAGAATATTAATGTAAACAACATAAATGGATACGAAGTTCATTCATACTATTCATAAGCCCTTCACGCTCCGTGTTATAACAAGTGACAAACTCTGTGAGACGTTTTCGTGACTGTACCTTCGTGAATGCGGCTGCGCTAGACAGTGTGCCCTAACTTCGTACACTTTGAGATGAAATTCAGTAAACAAAAATAATAATAGAATTTTACGATATTTCAGCTTTGTATGGACAGTAAAATTGTGATTGTGTGTATGTCTTGTCTCACGAGAGGAGTATGCGGTCCCAGGGGAATCACAACAGTTGTGTTCACATTGTTTTTCACGTCAGTTTTCTACAAAACAAACACTTAGAGATTCACATACATGTATCTACTGTTTTGTAAAGCTTTATTCCTTGTGTATGTGGCAGTTGTGTCAAATCTTGGTACAGGTCGTTTATTTCTGGTCACGAGCTGTCACAATGCAGTGACCCTCTTCCTAGCGCCATTGTTATGATTGGTAAAAATGACCGATATTCTGTTTTTTGACAAAACGATAAATAAATATATAGAAGTACATAATATATATATATAACTTTGCATTCAACTAAAAGCTGTATGCATTGGTTATGTTTGTTTGCCTTTTTAATTAGCGAAGTTAGTGGCAACAAACACAGCATACTTTTACATAATAAGATCAGTAAAAAATCCGTCTGAAGTTAGGACACCCCCTGTTACATTACTATCCATTATTAGAGATACATGCATTAAGCAATGAAAATTGTGATAGCTACCCTGGGTACCATTCAGATTCAACAGAAATTTTGCAGAATCTGTCTTCTTTCACAGACAAAAATCAGTGTGTAAAGATGGTGAGAGATGTCATTACACTATGCTCAGTGTACCAGCAAATTTTGCCCCTCAAAATGCAGGAAATGGTGTTTCAGAGGGTCAAGATTTGGGGAGCATGCCCTCAGACACACCCTACAATGCTTTTGGTACTCTACATGTTGCATCAAACAAAATTGGGATGACCAATGTCCTTGGGATGACAGAAAAAAAAGTCAGACTGGCTGAAAAAGTGGCCTCAGATGAGAGTAGACTTGTGATTGGTTGGTTTGACTGTGACTCATGATTGGTTGGTTTGACTGTGACTTGTGATTGGTTGGTTTGACTTGACTTGTGAGTGGTTTGACTGTGACTTGTGTTCCCTACAGAATGACCTTGTTGGCAGCACCCTGGGTGACATGGTTCACGAGAAGGAGAAGGTTCAGACCTGTAACCTCCTGACACACCACACACTGCACCTGGACCAGACCGAGCCAGACTATGGACATGGTAATGTGTGCAGCATGTTGCTTGGATGCTGTTTCTAGTTTGTGTACAGTCAAACTTATCTAAGACGACCACCCTGGTGTCCCAGGGGACCAAAGAAAAGTGGTCTTCTTAGCCAAGTGGTCATCTTATACAAAAGGATGGCAACAAGACAAGACAGAGGACAACGAAAACACAGCAAAATTTCCAACCATTTTACAATGGTGCCAGACTGTTTCCAGTTTTCCTATTACTCAAGAAGGCTTTGATGTATTGTCTTGATATTTGGTAGGTGGGTAGGTCTTGATGAGACCTCAAAATGATTAGATTTCGGGCCACCTGGCCATTTGTCATGGTACTGCAGCAGAACTTCCGGTTTTGATATCTCGTGGTCTGGACATGTTAGGGTCACGATATTCAGATGGTATCTTCTGCTGGGCAAGAAGTGACATGAGTTTGAGCCCCCTAGCTGCTTGCTCTGGAACTGTAAGGGCATTTGTTGAAAAAATGGTTAAAGGAGGATAACTCAAGGACGGATTGATGGATCGTCATAATTTTTGGTATGTTGGTAGCTTAAGTGATGCTTGACATAATAATGAATGAAGACCTTTATTGTACATTTTACCCCACTGGGCTAAAGACAGGTCACATATTGACAAAGTACATCATCAGTGTTGATAATAAAACTGCTATAGTACACAAGTACTTTCAACTTCCTCTCGCTTTCTGATAATCTTATAAATGTAGTTGGCAGTATGAGTAGTTAGAGCTGGTTTGTTAAAGGCTACAACTTGTACAAGGAATATAAATTTCTCTATACTATTCATTAAATACTTAAATTGGGAGTATTTGCTTGACACAAAATCGAAAAGAACGTTTCTTTCGCTGTCATACATGGAACAATCCACAATAAAATGTACCTCATCTTCTACTTTACCTAAACTACAATATTGGCAGATTCTTTGCTCTAGAGGGGTGCGGTTATGTCTTCCTGATTCAATTCGCAAATTGTGACAACTGATTCTTAGTTTAGTAATGGCAGATCTGTGACGTACATTTGCGATCTTAAGATAATCTTCTTCATTATATGAATGTTTTAATAATCTGTACGTTCGAAGTTTATTTTTTGAATTAGCAACTTTATTATCGTTGTGGATTTCGGAAAATGTTTGGAAATGAATATCTTTTAAACGCTGATAAATTGCTGAGATAATTTGGGGCGTATTTGAGCCGATTGATTGAACGCTTTGCCAGACGAAAGAATAACCACATTTCTCTAGACTGTTGCGTACACCAGACGCCCAACACTTGGTACCTGTAGCTTCTAACTCTACTTGACTCAAGAGGGCGTCTGCTTGAAGACTACCGGCAGGCACGTCCTTGCAAAGACGAATAAAATAGTTCACTATTCACACTGCGCAGTCATTGGTACATCCTTTATGAGTTATGGGGCAGTGCCGGAGTCGCGCGGCGAGGCCGAGTCCCACTATATGAAATATAGGATAACGGGGTGGGTGGGGGGGCAGCGAAAAACTTTCCCAAACAAGAAGGGCTAAACCCTTCCCCACCCACTCCCTGGGACTGACCTAACACCACGCTCCTTCGGCGTTGCGGATGCTTCCAATGATCGCAATGGTGATTAGCCTGGCTGGCATTCATATTTAAAGGGATAATGACGTCATGCAGGATTTAACCAATCACAGCGCAGTGTAAATAGTTCACTATTCACACTGCGCAGTCATTGGTACATCCTTTATGAGTTATGGGGCAGTGCCTGCGTCGCGACGTCCCAGCCTGGTTACCCTTACTATAAGTCTTAAATTTAATATAGTACCAGTAACTTTCCCTTCTCTTCACTTCTCTTCTCTTCTCTTCTTATAACCATCCCCATACTCATCCCCATACTCATCCCATTCTCATCCCATTCTAATCCCATTCTCATCCAATTCTCATCCCAATCTTATCTATACCTCCCAAAGCCTAGACTTACATCTCTTCTTCTCGGAAGAGCATACCCAACTGAGCTGGCTTTATCTAATAATTTATCTTTACAGCCACCCCTACACGAATTTTTTATGCAAACAAATTGCATTTACAACACAAGTTACAGTGTACAACTGTAAAGTGTCTTTCATTTAAACTCGTGTTGGCCTAATCCTCCGGAATCCTATTTTGTAACATGAAACCGGATTTAGACCCCGGAGCTCGTTTTTTTCCCCATCCACTGCTACCCACACTCTCCTGACTAATGTGAATCGAGCTTCTGGCTTAGGGTGGGTTTGACGCTTATCTCTCTCTGAATAAATCCCTAGTAGAGCAAAATTCAAAAATCACCGGAAGTCCACTAGCCAGTTGGATTAGTCCAACTCTAATCTCATCTCTTCCTCATTAACCTCTCAATTGTCAACGAGGTAAAATCTCATCGCCTCGAATTCCTGTACAGAGGCAAACCCAACCTTCCGATGAGTAGATCTGTTTCATTAAACGGGTGTTCATCGACAATCATAAAGTGCGAAACACAACAGGTAGCCTAACCACCACTGAGTGCCCAAAGGGCACCCATACGACAACTCGACACTCACTACCTGTGACGCAACACATGTATCAACACCCGCCATGTGTGCATCCGTCTATCTGCGACCGAGCACCCACGTGTGGAACGTCCCAAGGAGACAGTCACGCGACAACTTAGACAATCACTTAACCGTGATGCCACGAGTGCCTGCACGCGGAATGTGCCAAGAAACACAATAAAACCACCTACGATCACTTTACATGCGCTGCATAAGACATCAGCGCTCGCCCTATTTGGATCCGTCCGACTGTCCGCCACTGAGTTTCTGCACATTCATGTATTAAAGAGACACTCACATGACAAAATATCGACGATCACTTAACATGGGACGCAACAAAAACATCAGCGCTCGTCTGTACGTGGAAAGTACCACCAATACACTCACATGACAATACCGACGACCACCTTACATGCGACGCAAGAAAACATGAGAGCTCGCCCACTGAGTGTCTGGACACTTAATGTATCAGAGAAACACTCACATGACAATACCGACGATCAATTTACATGCGACGCAAGAAAACATAAGAGCTCGCCATGTCTAGATCCGTCCGACTGTCTGCCACTGAGTACCTACACGTAGACTGCCCAAACTAGACACTCACATGACAACATCGACGATTACGTACTTTACATGCGACGGAACAACACATCAGTGCTCGCCATGTTTGGA